GCCAACTTTTAGAATAATTTTAGCTAAACATGGCGGCACATAGCGGTACATGGCACGACATTTTATTTTTTTACACGGAAACTATTAACTTTAAGGAAAATACTAAACAGACAAAAAAGTACCATTAAAAAATGAGTTTTATAACCCATATTTTTTTATGTTAATATTCCATAGCGTTAAAAAGTTCTGATAAAAAAAATCTAGGGAGTGGTGAATTTCATCCCCTTAGAGGGCGTTAGGGAAGTTTAAGCTATGCTTGAAAGTAAGGTCTTAACCAGTAGTAAATACTAGTGATGGAACGGTTATAATTTCTGGTGCATTTCTGAAGTGATACCCTATATTGCCACATTATTGCGATATTTGAACAAAAATGAAATTAATAAGAAAGCTAATAAGATATGTCAACTTATTTGGATCTGATTTAACTAACGCAGCAACTCTAAAAAGAGGATACTCTAATTAATAGTTGGCGATATGTCCACAAGGATCCTTCAAGAAATGAATTTAATAGAGAATTTTGAAAGTTATCGATAAAAATTGCAACATCAAAAATCTTATCAAAATTTCAAATATTGTTTTCTCAAAAACTAAGTTATTTTTCAAAGCGGGTTGGTTCATTGGAAGGAAGACACTTTTATTAACACTTTGGGAAATTTTCATACTCATATTCCAAGAAATGGATTTTAAATGAAATTTTAAAACGTAATCGGCGAAAATTGCACAGTACGAAAAAATTGTCGATTATTTCAAAAATTTATTTCGCCACAACCAAAAGTGATTCTTCAAAATGGCTTTTTGCAGAAAAAGAGGATCCTATAATTAATAATTGGTGATATTTCTACAAGGATGCTTCAAGAAATGAATTTTATAGCAAATTTTGAAAGTTATTGATGAAAATTGCAACATCGAAAATTTTATCGAAACTTCAAATATTGTTTTCTCAAAAACTAAAAGTTATTTTTCAAAACGGGTTGGTTCATTGGAAAGAGGACACCTTTATTAACACTTTGGGAAATTTTCATACTAATATTCTAAGAAATGGATTTTATNTAGACGCTCATAAAGAATTAGTTTGTTTAGAAATTAACTTAAGTCACAAAACATTTTTTCTATATATTTTTAAATAATCGAAATATTTACAATATTTTTCAACTTAGAATGTGTATTAGAGTGTAGTCTATCCAGAGAAGTCAATATGTTGCCAAAGAAACTATTATTAAAGTCTAAATTTCAATATTTGTAGGAATATACAGGCTGGTTCAGTTTACATTTTATCTTTGATTTCGGGTATAACTAAACCATAGAATTTGAAATTTTGTATGTATGTACTACTGGTACTACCTTATTTTCAACCATACCTTAAACTTCCTTAGCGCCCTCTAAGGGGATAAAATTCACAACCCCTTTGATTCTTTATAATAACTTTTTAATGCAATGGAATATTAATATAAAAAAATGTGGGTTGTAAAGCTTATTCATTATCGGTACTTTTTTTGTCTCTTTAGTTTTTTCTTTAAAAATAATAGTTTTAGCGTAAGAAAATAAAATATGCTACATTGTACTGTAAAGCGCTGCTTTATAAAAAAAAATTTCGTTACAGCTGGCTATGGAAGTTGTGCACTTACTAGGATATATAGTACTAACTAAATAACACCAATTAATTGTGATTTTCATAAAAAAAACCATAAATAAAATGAATGTTTGTGATGAACAAATTACGTTGTTTTAAACAATATTAAAAAATTGATACTCTTGCTTAATAATAGTCAAAAATTATTAATAATCATCATCAATTATAAGGATTCTCTGTAAATGAAACTTACAAGTTCTCAAAGCCAACTTTTAGAATAATTTTAGCTAAACATGGCGGCACATAGGATACATGGCACGACATTTTATTTTTTTACGCGGAAACTATTAACTTTAAGGAAAATACTAAAGAGACAAAAAAGTACCATTAAAGAATGAGTTTTATAACCCATATTTTTTTATGTTAATATTCCACAGCGTTAAAAAGTTCTGATAAAAAAAATCTAGGGAGTGGTAAATTTCATCCCCTTAGAGGGCGTTAGGGAAGTTTAAGCTATGCTTGAAAATAAGGTCTTAACCAGTAGTAAATACTGATTTTAAACTAGTGATGGAACGAATAGTGATTTTGCGAAAAGCCGAATACCGAATATTCGGCATACCTTTTAGCCGGATATCCGGTTATTTTTGGTGCATTTCTGAAGTGATGATTCTGCGATATTTGAATAAAAATGAAATTAATAAGAAAGCTAATAAGATATGTCAACTTATTTGGATCCAAGATACAAAATGAACTTTTTTGATGCAGATTTAACGAAGCAACTCTAAAAAGAGGATACTTTAAGTAATAATTGGCGATATGTCCACAAGGATCCTTCAAGAAATGAATTTAATAGCGAATTTTGAAAGTTATCGATGAAAATTGCAACATCAAAAATTTTATCAAAACTTGATATATTGTTTTCTCAAAAACCAAAAGTTATTTTTCAAAACGGGTTGGTTCATTGGAAAGAGGACACCTTTATTAACATTTTGGGAAATTTTTATACTCATATTCCAAGAAATGGATTTTATACGAAATTTTAAAACTTAATCGGCGAAAATTGCAAAATTCGAAAAAATTATCCATCATTCCAAAAATGTATTTCTCCAGAACTGAAAGTGATTTTTCAAAACGGCTTTTTGCATTAAAAAGGGGATACTATAATTAATAATTGGTGATATTTCCACAAGGATCCTTCAAAAAATGAATTTTATAGCGAATTTTGAAAGTTATCAATGAAAATTGCAACATCGAAAATTTTATCAAAAGTTCAAATATTGTTTTCTCAAAAACTAAAAATTATTTTTCAAAACGGGTTGGTTCATTGGAAAGAGGACACCTTTATTAACACTTTGGGAAATTTTCATACTAATATTCTAAGAAATGGATTTTATACGAATTTTTAAAACTTAATCGGCGAAAATTGCAAAATTCGAAAAAATTGTCGATTATTTCAAAAATTTATTTCTCAAGAACTAAAAGTGATTTTTCAAAACGGCTTTTTGCATTAAAAAGAGGATACTTTAATTAATAATTGGTGATATTTCCACAAGGATCCTTCAAGAAATTAATTTTATAGCGAATTTTGAAAGTTATCGATGAAAATTGCAACATCGAAAATTTTATCAAAACTTCAAATATTGTTTTCTCAAAAACTAAAAGTTATTTTTCAAAACGGGTTGGTTCATTGGAAAGAGGACACCTTTATTAACACTTTGGGAAATTTTCATACTAATATTCTAAGAAATGGATTTTATACGAATTTTTAAAACTTAATCGGCGAAAATTGCACAATTCGAAAAATTTGCCGATTATTTCAAAAATTTATTTCTCCAGAACTAAAAGTGATTTTTAAAAACGGAATAAATTAGAAAGAGGATACTATAATTAATAATTGGTGATATTTCTACGAGGATCTTTCAAGAAATGAATTTTATAACGAATTTTGAAAGCTATTGATGAAAATTGAAATTCGAAAATTTCATCAAAACTTCAAATATTGTTTTCTCAAAAACTAAAAGTTATTTTTCAAAATGCGTTGGTTTATTGGAAAGAGGGTACTTTTATTAACACTTTGGGAAATTTTCATACTTATACTCCAAGAAATGGATTTTATACGAATTTTTAAAACTTAATCGACGAAAATTGCAAAATTCGAAAAAATTGTCGATTATTTCAAAAATTTATTTCTCCAGAACTAAAAGTGATTTTTCAAAACGGCTTTTTGCATTAAAAAGAGGATACTATAATTATTAATTGGTGATATGTCCACAAGGATCCTTTAACAAATGAATTTAATAGCGAATTTTGAAAGTTATCGACGAAAAATGCAGCATCGAAAATTTTATCAAAACTTCAAATATTGTTTTCTCAAAAACTAAAAGTTTTTTTTCAAAACGGGTAGGTTCATTGGAAAGAGGACACTTTTATTAACACTTTGAGACATTTTCATACTCATATTCCAAGAAATGAAATATATACGAATTTTTAAAATTTAATCGGCGAAAATTGCAAAATTTGACAAAATTGTGGATTATTTCAAAAATGTATTTTTCCAGAACTAAAAGTGATTTTTTAAAACGGCTTTTTGCATTAAAAAGAGGATACTATAATTAATAATTGATGATATTTCCACAAGGATCTTTCAAGAAATGAATTTTATAGCGAATTTTGAAAGTTATTGATGAAAATTGCTACATCGAAAATTTTATCAAAACTTTAAATATTGTTTTCTCAAAAACTAAAAGTTATTTTTCAAAACGGATTGGTTCATTGGAAAGAGGACACTTTTGGGAAATTTTCATACTCATACTCCAAGAAATGGATTTTAAATGAATTTTTAAAACTTAATCGGCGAAAATTGCAAAATTCTAAAAAATAGTCGATTATTTCAAAAATTTATTTCTCCAGAACTAAAAGCGATTTTTCAAAACGGTTTTTTGGATTAAAAAGAGGATATTATAATTAATAATTGGTGATATTTCCACAAGGATCCTTGGATTAATGAATTTTATAGGGAATTTTTAAAACTTAATCGACGAAAATTGTAAGATTCGAAAAAATTGTCATGTTGAATTGGGATTGTTACAATGAGATTGCTAATGATATATGATATATAGTGTCCAACACCTAAAAGAAATACTAATTCCTGTGAATATTGGAGTACTAAGTAATAGGTTTTTAATTAATATTAACCTTGTATACTGGAAATTTACAAAAACCAAAAAATTTAAATAATTCCTAAACTATTTAACTGTGTTTAAGGCATATTTGGCTTAATCACTTGCAAATGAGCTCTACAAGAATAGATTTCAATAAACCAGTCACCTATATAATAAAATTTATAATAAATTTAATAATGGACAACTTTGTAGAAATAATTAATTGATTTTTATCTTACCACAAGTTAAAATTGAAATCATATTCTTACCGTTTGCAATGCTTCGGACATACAATGAAAAGAATCCACCTGAGCTCCATCATGTGTCAATTCTTGCTTAACCATTGGAGGAGTTACCCTCAGATCATCCATATGTGCATCCTTCTCTGTTGTAATAGGTGTGAGCTTTGGTACGGTTGTTTTGTAATTGCTAGGTGGCTATTTACAAAGAAAAATATTTAGGATTATTGGAGTTAATTCAAAATTAATTTAATTCTAATTTGGGCGAGATTAAAAAAAGAACTAACCTGACTATCATTATATCGCTCTTGGTTGTTATCACAGTTATTATTCGACGATTTCCTTTTCCGCTTTTCATGTGGTTGCGAATCATGTTCAGGGGGCCACTCTCGTTTAGGGACATCGACCGGCGCGTCCACTTTACTATTCAATTGGTTATGATCGGTAAGGCCGCGTATTTGCAACGCCTCCGCCGTCTTCAAGAACATGGGCAGAAGGTGTTGTGATACGTTCACCTCGCCTTTGTACATGAAGTCGAGGAGTGCTTTCATCTCGTTGTAATTGACGTCTTTCAGGTAGATGATGGGATGAGGATGGACGTTCTTAATCAGGAGCATCTCAAAATAAGGGCTACATGCTGACAATATCGTCTGATGCGCCTTGAGCGTTTCACCTTCACAGGCCAGGGTTACATCGCAAAGGGCTTGTCTTCGTAATAGACTCAAGAGGACGTCTGTTAAGTTTGTCGGATGGTTGTTCCAGCGTAGACAAAATTGTTGATCCATTTTTGTTGTGGTTGTTGTTGTTGTAGTGGTGTGATTAAATTAAAAATTAGTACCTGTTGATATAATGGAGTTAATAATTTATAATTAATTAAAAAAAAAATGAAAATAAATAAAGATTAATACACGGTACATAAAATTAAAGTTATATGACCTAAAACTGTATTGAGCTAGAAATACAGTTATCTATTCAGTAATATAATTGCATTATGGCCCAAAGGAATGTTCTATAAGAGAGGAGAGATTATGCTCTGCGTTGGAAATTGATGAGTGTAAAACTACGTCACAAACAGTTGACCATTCACCGAACCAAAGGGCAATAACGAAAAAAACAATAAAATTGGAAATAAAGAAGGCGTTGAAGTAGAAAAAAAAAGTTGAAAAAAACAAAAAAGAAACGTATCGTCATGCCCTTATAAAATGAAAAGAACTCACCGAAACCATACACACAAATCCAGTATTTTTACGCGATTGAAATAATGGTTACGCCGTTTAAACAATAGTAAAACGAACGTTCGCACGTGTCCCACGCCATAAAACCGAACGGAATCCGCCCGAAAAAACCGAACCCGTACGTGCCTAAACGTGTTACTTCGAAAAATTATTACACGGTCATCGCTACGGTGTTAGTTACCGCCATTACTACCAGAGAGAACCAAGTGTGCCATAGGTTTTTTTTTTGTCGCTCACGCACATCTCTAATGCCACGACCGAAGAAGAGAGAAAGAGAAAGAGATAGACGGAAACTTGACCGTTTTATACTTGGGGCCCCACGGATTCTAACGTTACCGACACTATTTCCGTGACGCGCCCTTCATACGACGATGTATTTTGACCTTTTGTGATGATGGTTACCTTTTGTTATTTTTGTAATTTTATTTATTTTTTTTTTATCAAAAAAAAAAAAAACAAGGGAATCCTTGCTACGACACCCAAGTAAAAGCCATGCCAAACTGGCCAAACACAACTCTTTTAGCGCACGGTTCGGCAACACAATTTACACTACCGTGGTACAGTTTTTCTCCTTCCTTTCTCTCACTCTTCGTTACCCATCATCGCCAAATTCAAATCAAGGTACGTATGCGATTAGAAATATATTTCGTAAAGGATTTCCGGCTCAACATGATTAACATCCTGTTAATTCATTCAATGGAAATATTCATTAATCAGAAAACAATCAAATCATTATCATAATTTCTGAATTCATTCCAAATTCGATTTTTAAGTAAATGTCAAAATATCGTTCGTTTTGGGTTGCCTTTACAGATACTTAACAGATAACTTTTTATAAAAAACTATTTCATATGAAATATATAAGTTATTCTTATTATTTATTTATATTAATTCAAATAAAAATAAACAAATTAAATATTTTCTAAATGCAAAAATGTGGTGGTTGGGTTGCATACCCACAATATCACAATTTATATACAGTGACGAACAAAAGTCTACATATAGCATTGAATGGGGTCATACACGATTTTTTTTTTATTATATTTTCTGAAAATTTGTATAAAAATATAATTACCAGTATTTTTTTTTTGAATATATTCGATTTTTTGAATATACACATTTGCGATTTGAAAATTCCCGCGTTGATGACCTACGAATATCAGCTTTCCGTTCCCTGCTCCTTGCTCAAATTACAGAATAACCAGAATAACAGTGGCAGTATCCCGCCAAATCTGACGCCATATTATAGCGAGTTACCGAGGTATGTTGCTATTGGTGGTAAAGATTTGGCGGGATACCGCTAGTGTCACTTCTGGTTCACGTCTCTTAAGACGACTAAACACAAATGATTCTAGTTCTACTATACATATAATCTAATGTACGTACTTTTCTAATACGTATATTTAACTTTTCAACTACTTCAATTAAAATATACAAGCTAACGCTTAATAACAATTAAAACTAGAACTAACACTATACCTAGAACTAGAATCATTTGGGTTTAGCCGCACGTCTTTAAAGACGGCTAAACCCGAACGATTCTAGTTCTAAGTATAGTGTTAGTTCTAGTTTTACACCAGTACTATCACTAAAAGTAACACTATACCTAGAACTAGAATTATTTGGGTTTAGCCACACCTCTCTAAAGACGGCTAAACCTGAATGATTCTAGTTCTAGGTCTAGTGTTAGTTCTAGTTTTACACTAACACAGTTACTATGTAAAATTAACACTATACCTAGACTAGAATCATTTGGGTTTAGCCACACGTCTCTAAAGACGGCTAAACCTGAATGATTCCAGTTCCAGGTATAGTGTTAGTTCGAGTTTTACACTAGCACTGTTACTATGTAGAATTAACACTATACCTAGAACTAGAATCATTTGGGTTTAGCCGCACGTCTTTAAAGACGGCTAAACCCGAACGATTCTAGTTCTAAGTATAGTGTTAGTTCTAGTTTTACACCAGTACTATCACTAAAAGTAACACTATACCTAGAACTAGAATTATTTGGGTTTAGCCACACCTCTCTAAAGACGGCTAAACCTGAATGATTCTAGTTCTAGGTCTAGTGTTAGTTCTAGTTTTACACTAACACAGTTACTATGTAAAATTAACACTATACCTAGACTAGAATCATTTGGGTTTAGCCACACGTCTCTAAAGACGGCTAAACCTGAATGATTCCAGTTCCAGGTATAGTGTTAGTTCGAGTTTTACACTAGCACTGTTACTATGTAGAATTAACACTATACCTAGAACTAGAATCATTTGGGTTTAGCCGCACGTCTTTAAAGACGGCTAAACCCGAACGATTGTGGTTCTAAGTATAGTGTTTATTTTAGTTTTACACCAGTACTATCACTAAAAGTAACACTATACCTAGAACTAGAATCATTTGGGTTTAGCCACACGTCTCTAAAGACGGCTAAACCTGAATGATTCTAGTTCTAGGTCTAGTGTTAGTTCTAGTTTTACACTAGCACAGTTACTATGTTAAATTAACACTATACCTAGAACTAGAATCATTTGGGTTTAGCTGCACGTCTCTAAAGACGGCTAAACCCGAATGATTCTAGTTCTAAGTATAGTGTTAGTTCTAGTTTTACACTAGTACTATAACTAAAAGTAACACTATAGCTAGAACTAGAATCGCACGTCTCTAAAGACGGATACGTTCATAACAACAGCGTTCATAGGCAGTTGGATAACCTTATACAGTATGTTTACTCAACGGACCTTAATTCTGTGCTTTTGGTAACTCGTGATAAGATGGCGGATTTTAAATCGAGGTCACAAAACGAGGTGCCGCCAACATCAAACGAATCGACGTTAGTGTCATTTCTGGTTATTCTGTGCTCAAATGCGAGACAGAGATGAACGTCATTTAGGTTGCATTAAAAAGAGATAGACTATTTATACGTTATGTTTATTATGTTATGTACATCCATGGTTTTGTTTTTATACATAGCTGTCAACCCTCTCAATCTCATTATCCCCAATGTTGATCTTAGAGCTGGGAACAAGATTTGTCATAAATTTTGATTTCTCCTCGTTGATATTTAGCCCGACTCTTGCACACACCTCCTTTAAATCATTCAGCATTAGTTTAATCTCTCCAAGGCTATGCAAAATAAGAACTCTATCGTCCACGTAGCGCAAATTACTAAAGCATTTCTTCTAAAGCAATTTTCTAAAGCAGTCATCAATGTTTATGCCTTTTTGGGTCCAATCCAGTTGTTGAAATGCACTCTCCAGGACTGTAATGAACAATTTGGGTTCAACAGTATATCGCCTTGTTTTACTCACAATCAGTACTTTACTAGTTCTATTCTCTTCAGAACTTTCATGCAATTATAAATAAGTTTGGTATATCGATAATCGACTCTGCCGAATTTTGAAATGCTTGCAAAACTTCCATCAACTCAATTTAAATTAAATTTTATAAATACCTCTAAATACCCATCTTGGGTAATGTATGTATGGATTGGACCCGGTTATTTAACAACACTGATTGTGATATGGTTAGGACTAGGACTACATCACTAATTCTGATAAGCAGAGTTGCACGTGGTTTACCACAGTACATTAGACCATTGTTGGTCGTAAAACCCCCGTGATCCCTTAAGGGGCCCATACACAGTGATGCAAAACTGAAATGTAAAACGGAAATGATCGAACACACGGTTCAAATTTACTTGTCAGAAGAAAGAAAGGAAGAGAAAATTGGTAAAAAATTGGCTCAAAAAACGAAAATAGTATTATCACGCGAATTAACTGAACGAATTATGGTTAGAAGTCGATGACTATATGACTTATTTGCGCATGGATGCAAGAAATATCCGAGAACGTTTTGTAAAGTACTTTATTGATGATAGGTTCAACATGATCGTGTTACATATCAAGAATACTGGAAATGTTAATTTTGAAAATGAGTTTACACTGTTTCGTTATCATAGTGTCCTTATACACGGTGTCTCACGCAACTGGTTCGGTAGAATTTTTTTGTAATTCGCGACGGTAATGAAAGCTATTACAGTACTCAAACGGGTGCTGTAATGAGACTCCTTACAGCATCCGATGCTGTAATGAGATTTTAGTAACATTTTATGGAACCAGTTTAAGTTGGTGACATTGGGTTATTAATTTTTCTAGTTATCAATGTGACAATTTTTATCTGTGGATGTTTAAACACGTTCTTAGCATCGAATACAAGGTCCACAATGATGAGGACATTGACCCGTGAGCAATTTCTCATATTTTGGGAAGTGTAGATGAAACATTGAAAGATGAAACATAATTGTCAATTTAAATTTCTATTTGCAAGTGTTACGGTGTTACCAACTGCTACATACCTATTTCCCTACATTGCCAAAGTTTATTTTATTTTTCTTTAAAAAAAGAAAAGAACGCGAATTACACAAAATAGCATAAAAACACGTTTCGTAAGACTTAAAGCACTCATTCATTAAAAAACTCGTGACCCAATTTTCCACCATCCTGTATAAGATACTTCGATACAACACATGAAAATCTATTTGACAGCATCTGAAGAGTAATGGTGCCAATGTAGATCTTTTTTGAATGAACGTTGGCTGAGATATGGAGTTTTAAAGAGCACGTTGAAATTTATCAAAAAAAGCTTAAAACCAAAATAACTCGGAAACGAAAAACGCTAGGTACCTATAACTTTTATCAAAGTCAACCCATTTTTTTGCGTACAATTAAACGGTGTAATAAAAACGATAGCATTCTATTTAAAATAACGAAGTTATGGTCTACTTCCGATATACCGGAAGTGGCGGCCATCTTGAAAATATTTTAGGACGATAGTTCCGTATGAACAACCTATGCTACAAAAATTTCAAATCTCTACGAATAATGGAACCTGAAAAAGTTCTAACGAACCAGTTACGTGAGACACCCTGTATATCTTAACCCTACTTTACGAAGAAATTAAATAGATAAAACTTTCTAGTTCTTTATTTAAAAATAATAGTATACATTATTCACTATCGTGAATAATATTGCCCGATTGATAATAATCGACAATCTGAAAATTCTAGAATGGCTGATATTTGATATTTGCTTAAAAACTTCCACTAGCAGTTGGTAACCCTCATTCTTTTCATTTCTATCCATATATTCACTACTTTTTACTTTCCAAAAACAAGTACTTCTTTGGTATATACTTATAAATTGACGTTTTATTCGTAAATAAATTTGAATAATATGCTTACGAAGATCAATTTCAACAACGAAGATGAACCCTCTCTACACGTACAAGCTTGTACACGACGGGCCGTTCACAATCAAGCTCAGCCAGATCCTATCGCGCCATGCCTAGACCTTACATTTGCTCTTACGTATTAGCTTTGCGGGCAAATTTTGCACCACAGTGTATGGGCCTGTTTAAATCAGACTGAAGTCTCAATCAAATCCCAAAATGAAGTCTATATACAGGATGCTTCTGTAAGTAGTGGCATAACTTTAATCAGAAATACTAGAGTGAAAATGATGACGATTCGTGTAAAAGTTTTTGATCAAAACTCATAAATGTTAAGATATGGGGCTTCAAAGTAAACTATTTTTCAAACATTTACTTAAATATTTTCAATATGGTTTGTCTTAGAAAGACTAAATTTAGCAAACAGTGCAATGTTATCATAAAAAATCGTTTAAGAT